TAGAAGATGCCAACGTTGTTAAGAGATCCATATCCAATAAGGAGAGGGTTGTATTTTTTTTAATGTGCTTACTGGTCAATTTTTTGTCCCTTTATAAACCAACTCGGTGATCTTATTATAATGCGCAGAATAAATCCACCAATAAAGTAGCAAAGTTATGGAACCAATCCGCTCCTACTGAATTATTACTTTTCGAAGAACCGCAAAAAATTAGTGACCAACACTTTATAGATAAAAAAGAGAGAATAGTGAAAGCGTGGTCTTTACAATACGAAGGCCTTATAAATACTCTTCAGAAAGTTATTTCTTATGAATTCAAAGACCTGTAATTTATATTATTATTACCACTATTTTTGTTGTTGATATTATATTCCTTATAATTATTGTTAACGTCTCTTCAGTTCGCATTTGTTTAGAGCTTTTACGCACGGCTCTGCCACCTCGGAAGTTTCAGGTAATTGGTTTGTGGATCATTTCCGTGCGATGTTTTTATTTGCACTGTTATATATAATAAGTACCCTTTATGCATCATTATGCTTAAGATATACATTTGATCCAAAATAATATCATTTGCTCATGCCTGCTGCCTTTTTATTCAGGATGTTATCAAAAGTTCGAGTACATTGGCGACGCTCTTCTTGACATTTCTGTTACTGCTCGACTCTACTTGTCCAATAAAAATAAATGGATGCCACCAGGTGTCCTATCAAAATGCAAAGAAAAGATTGTCTGTAATGAATTTTTGGCGCGCTTGTGTTTGTTTCATGAATTTCATAAGGTTTTCATTTGCATATTCACTTTTTATTGTGAATGTTTTTCTATAAATATTTACTTATTATTATTTTTGACTCTCTAGTGATGTAATTTTTTTTTAATGATTTAGTATTATATCTATTATGAAGAAAGTCTTCTTCATTGCTACACATATCTGATTAGATATTATGCTTTTTTAAACTACTTATCTATATAACTTTTATAATCATTACCTTTCCTAGTATATAGAATTCAGTGCTAATCGAATTTTAGAAAGTTTTTATATATTTCATAACATTTAGTTTTAAAAATTTTGGAAACAAGGATTTTCCAAGCTGTTAGTTATTATGAAAACTTAATTTATCATTTATAATAAATATATTTATAAATGATTTCCAGGGCATTCAACATTGCTCTCTTGATACGAGCCGAAGCATCACTACTTTTGTGAACCAATGCCATGAGGCCGCCAAATCCGGAAATGAAGAGGCATTGGCCTCCATTGCCCACCCGAAAGTTTTGGGAGACATAGTAGAGTCCATTATCGGTGCTGTCTATGCGGATTCTCTTTGTGATTTCAGGGAAAGTATGAAAGTCATTGAAACGTTAGTCCCTTGCCCGTACTAGTAGCGAATAATGAATAATCATAATAGTAACTTATAATAATTAATATAGTTAGAGCAATTATCCTACCCAACATTATAATTATAATTGCAATAATTATAACAATTACTATGTTTGGTTAAAAGGCATAACTGCTAAATAGTTTTATTTGTAATAATATGCTAATAAAGAAATGTAAGACAATGTTTTTGTTTTCAAGTTGATCCACGTAAAAAATCTGTAATTTTGTAGTGGTCGGCTTTTTTTTCATCATCACACTCGTCGTGGAAATAGTCATCATAAATAATGAGTCCAGCAGGCTTTATTAAAAATATTTTTTTTTACTGTTTTATTTAATGGGGGTTTTGAATGTAGTTATCATGGCCTCGTGCTTTTCTGTAGGACAGTAACAAATGGGCGTGTACATCAGCTTTTGTTATATCCAGTCCGACTGCGCCCTTTTCAATTCTGCTAATGGCGTCACTGTAGCTCGTATTTTGTATCATAAAGCGATTAACAAATGCAAATAAGCAAAACAGGAAGCGGTTAAGTTTTTTGGGCCCAGCGAATAAGCGGATTTGGAATATTTATATTAACAAACCTCTCCACCATTTAATGACTATAACTATTTGTTAGAGCAAAGCACATTTTATGCAGAAAAATTACCAATTTTTTATTAAAGTATATACTATAAAGTCGCGTATAAGTAACGCGTTAAAAATAGTACTTCATTGTTCTTCCCAAAAACTTTTAGTAAAGCATTTTCCTTAATAGTCTTCATTAACACGCGCCCTGCCCATTGCAAGTTGGTAATAAAAATATTTTACTGAAAAAAAAAGTTCCGTAAGTGACCAATTGACATCATTCAAGCACCTGTGGTCATTAGGGAATTTTATTATCACACAAACATCCGCTTCAGTATATTTAGCGCGGCGGTATATAGTAAATGCACTTGTATTCAAAGCTTTTCATTATGTCTATTGAATGACTTCGAAAATACTCATAAGACATACAACCAAATAAAAATACTATTCCAAAAAACTTTTTTATTATCGAACCCTTTAAGCGTTTGAAGCTGCCACTCCAATTCTTCTATTTCTTTTGAATGTTTTCCATACTTCCCTGCAATTTCACTAAATCTTTTGATAAAAAAAGGTTAGCGGAACTATAAAATTGTTGATTTTGTATTACTATTAAAACTTATTTATAATACTTTTACGAAACATTCTACAATCAGCTAAAAAAGTATTATTAATAATGAAGTTTAAGAAAACTAAAAGAAGAAATTGTTGGGTTACCCCATTCACAAGTTTTCGTACTCGCAGAGTTTCAACTTCAGTTGGGATATACGCGCACATGTGCTTGCTTTAACTCGTTTTCTAAACTTTCTCTGTTTTTAAAACGTTTCCAATATAAAAAAAAATTTAGTGGCACCTTCATAAAGTTAGAGAAGTGCGGGCTGTAGTGAAACAGGCCAATAACTTAAAGCCTAAGCACGAGGTTCACATGCCTAACGAACTCTGCATAAAATTACGGTTCTGCGTTCTCTTACGTATAAAAATACGCCCCTCTTAAGTTTTAGGCAATGACTACAAGTTACTGGTTTTATGTAGTATTTACTTTTTGTACATATTACAAAGAACTTGCTTATAATTACAAGAATTTTAATGAAGTTGACAAGTAAAACCTTATAAGTTGAGACACCTGGCCGTCTCTGAATCATAAGTCTCCAATAATACTTTGTACTTCAGTTTTCTTTTTAATAAAAAATATTATCATATAAAAGATAAATACTTCAGAAATAGAAATAAGTTTATTATACCAAAAATAATAAAAGAAAAAAAAATAAACTTATAAAAAACCTTTAAATGACTAAAAAGTATATATATTTAAATAAAACGAATACTAGTACTTTAAAAAAATGTTGAGCTAACAATAACATAACTATAAACTTTACAATGAAAAAGACCATAAATAATGATAGGTAATATGTATATTATAAGAATATAATAAAAAAAACTAAAAACAGTAAAAGTGTAAAATAAAAATAAGGAAAAATGAGTAAAAATAATGAAATCTAAAAGAAAAAGAATGTTGTTTTATAAATAGAACAAAAGTTATATAAAATACAAGTAAATATAAATAAAAAAGTTATAACTGCGAACAGAATAGTTAATATTTATAACTAAAATATGATATTCAAAAAAAAATTATTTATATTTATAAAATAATAGTGAATTAGAATACTAAATCAATAAAAAATAGTCTTTATTAAACTGCTGTTAATCAAATAAAATAATAATAGAATAATACGATGTATACATTTAATTATTTCTAATAGTAGATAAAAAAGTTATTAGTTTTCATAATAATTACAGCTAATCATCTAAAAACATAAGATAAGTTTATGCGTTACATAAATATGTTTGAAACAATTATATTTAGCATATATAAATGGGTTATATATATAAATAATAAGATAACAAAGTCTAAAAAAAAGAGATTTTCCTAAAAAAAATTAAAAAAATAAATGTATATGTGTATTATATTAATCATTTTTAAAAAAAAATTAATAATTCACTTCATTTTTTGCATCAACGGGTTGGACTTTTTTATGCACCAACGGACGGACACATTATCTTTTGTATATTGCGTGTGATATTCAGTAGTGTATAAAAGTACGTCAAGAAGCTCGATTTTGGCCTGATGGAATATATTAGTAGCAGTAATAATAGTAATGACAATAATAATAATCATAATAATAAACCTTCTGAATCTCAAACTTAATAAAAAGTATATTCCTTCTTACGGTTCTAACATTTTAATGTTATAAATAATAACGAGCAAATATTCTATAAACGATATATAAAGAAAACTTCCCTTATTTTATCTTGTAGTGTTTAAACGCTGTCGCTGTGCAAAACTTCCGAATAGTCAGTAACAAGTTCTTCAAAAACTTTACTCTACTGTTTAAGGTGCCGTGAGAATACTCAAAAGTTCTTCTTTCTACTATTTTTTTAAAAAAAATATAAATAAAAGTTTCTTTTTCTATATAATAATATTATTCTATTTACTAGAAATATAATTGTTTAGGTTATTTCTATATAAATTTTACTATTTAATATATACATTATTATTGCAAAAATTATCAGAAAGAAAAAAGCTTTTGGACATATTCATGGGGATCGAGATCGAGAGACTCAAAGTGCTTTCTGTTATCCTCTAATATATAAAAGAGTTACAGATGATAATAAATACTAGGATTAATATATAAGTATAAAATGTAAGAAGAAATTAAAATTTTATTATAATAATCTTCTAAATGTTTTAATTTTTAAAAAGGTTTTAATCTTATACTGAAAAACGTGAACAAAAGTTATAACTCGACAAATATATTATTACAAAAATTTATAAAAATAATATAATATAATTTTTAAAGTCTTATATAACATGTAAGACAAGAGTTCTAAAAAAAAATTTAATAATTGCAAAAATATATTATATCCTTTAAAATTTAACAAATTAATCAAAATAATATTAAAATGAAAGTAATAATAGAAACCATTTAAAAAAATAATAACATAAATTACTACTAAGATTTTAATAAATTTAAAAATTAAATAAGAAATCAAGAACTTTATACGGCCTCTAGAAACATAAAGTAAACATAAAAGGCAGAAAATATAAAACTTCCAGTAAACAAACATATACTAAAGAGAAGTTTCCAAAAAAATAAAAAAAAATAGTTAAAAGGAAGAAACACAAATGTGCAGATATAGTAAACCTCCAGATAAGTAGAGTATTGACTACAAAAGTACCCGGTAACGTTCTCTAACAATCTTTCCTTGTTCTATAGATAATTTCTTTTAGTATAATGTAGCCAATGCTAATAAAAGAAAAAAAAATTAATTTCTTATCATAAAAAATAACAAGCGTTAGAATAAAAATAGGAGTAATAATAAGCGAAGTAAAAATAGTATAAAGCTGTAAAGTTGAAAAAACCGGATACTTCACTATTGTATTAAAAGAAAAATGCTTTCTTATATGATTTATAACAAATATAATCAATTCAATTATAATTATCTTCTTACTTTTTAGTACGATAACAGGAAGAGAAAGTAATGATAACCATAAAAGTTAGTTAAAATTATTTTATAACTATCTATAAAACTCTTCGCTGTTTTAATAATTCTCGAAACTTTTTATAATATACCATTAATGTAAAAAAGTTAGAACTCCAAAAATGTCAAAGGAAACACTTAAATACACAACGCTTCATCCCTTAAGAAACTCCCTAGACTAAAAAATTACTGCCTGACTTTTCTAACAAAAAATAAACTAGCAAAAATTTAATTAACAACAATAAAGGGAAGCATTAAAAAAGAAAAATAATTTTATTTATTTATTATTAAAAGTATATATAGTTATTTACCTTAAAAAAAAATCTGTACAAAAATGTATATTTATTTTATAATGTATAAAAATTTTAAACAAATTAATAATTTCACTCATAAAAGTCAAATATCTATAATAGTAAACAATTACCTGTGTATACTCGGGTGAATTTTTATAAGTGATTAAAGCTTCTTGTAAAGAAAGAATTTAAGATAAAACAATGTATCAAATTTCTATTTAGAAAAGATTCATAATACTGTGTAGATGTATATTAATTTAGGGGTACCTACCCTTGACACGCTTGTATTCTTCTATAGTCTACAATTTTTTTTAAAATAACACCTTATACACAAACGAAAATTATAAAAGTTTAAATAATAAGAAACATACTTTTTAAAATAAGATATATAAAAAGTTATAACTTGAGCATATTTTTGCTTAATTTTTTTATTAGTACCCCAAGGGTCAACATGCAAACTATAAAGATCTGACAACAAATGTTGAAACTTCGGATTCGTACAGAATGTTTCAAAATCTACTAGCGCTGGTAAATCAATGTAGACTGCAGGAAAGGATAAATATTATTATAAAGTTTCAAATAGATAAGATTTAAACTGTTAATAAGCAGTCAACCATAACAGAATAAATTAGTACTACTAACATTAAAACTAACCATCATTACCTGAACCTTTTAATTTAGTTTTTATAAATTCCCCGAAGTCAAGTACCATTATATTTCGTAACGTACCACAAGTTACAAGTAGCAAATGAACACGAGTTACAAGATTAACACAAAATCTTATGGGAGTGGTTTCCTCTGGGGGCTGAGCACTTGCCCACCGCTTACTCTTGGTTGCCATTTTTTTATACCAAGTGATATCACTTCTCACTCAATCCTAGCTTCCTTTAACGTTTCATATCGTAATTTTCTTTGTCTAAAACACTTTTTTACAGGGGCACTTCGGTACACAACTCTTCTTAAACTTGCATAGCATCTGACCTTATGAACGTGCCGTAACACGAGGGGGTATAAATATAAAAAGAAAACCCATGAAAACTGTAATAATGAGCCTATTCCACTAGAGGAAAAACAGATTCGAAAAATGTCATAATTACGAATATATTTCTTTAACCTTTGAACCTTCATGCCTACTTGAGAGCTATATATTAAAGAACTAAATTAGATGTATAAATTTAAACTTTATAAAAAAGTAATCTTTATTTGTTTATTTTATGGGGCCATAGTCACAAAGAGTCTTTGCACATATTTTATATAGGGCGCTTATCATCTATTTTTTTCTCTATTTCATATTAAATAGGTACCCTTAAAAAGTTTATTATTAAATAAATATGCTGCAATTTAATACCAACTCTACAAACCTATATTACTTTTCAGTCTATAATATACTATATATTATTGTATTATATTACCTTAATGTCTATAAAGTGTAAGTTTATAAGGACTTTCAGGCAGGGTACTCAACATTTGGTAAAACTGTACCCCCTTGAATTTTACCCTTTGTGAGGGTTAAGCAAGAATTAACAGATTATGACAGTAAGACTGGTAAAACAGTGTATATAGGGAACCATTTGCTACATTGTAGAGAAAAAGCAGAAGCCGTTGACTTTCAACGGCTCGAAAATTCCGTGGCGCCTTCAGATAAATACCTAGCAGCTTTTTAGTTGTAACGGCGTTTACACGTAAATTATGTGGTGGCAAAGGTTCAAGGCAGTTATCCAGACGCTATATCCTCTAATATGTAGGGAAAGTAAGCTTTCGTTGCACAATAAGCGCAGGCTTAATGCTGCGCAAATTGTCAGTCGTCACATGCGCCTTTGGCAAACGCGTTGTGGTTTGTGCGCGTCTTAAAAAGAGAGGGTGAAATTGCAACTATCAAAAACCGTAAAAGAGACTCGCCAGTGAAAGTCGAACTCAAGGATTTGAGTATGCACTTCAATAATTTTAACCGCAGAGGTACGATGGCATCTCTTAATCCCGGTATGATGGCTTTACGTTGACAACCCACTATGACCGACATCTTTAGCCATTTTAAGATGCTGTTATGTTTAGCCAGAGGAGCTAGTGCTTTTGACGTTATAAATTTATGAGGGAGAGGTTAAATGCTCAATCATCATAGCTCGAAAAAGTGAGTCGCGTTGATGGGAATTGAACTCACGACCTTAAGTAGCTTTAAAGCTCTTAACGCTGAGCTAAGACGACAACTCTCTATCCCTGTACGATGGTTTTACGTATTTAACCTGTTAGCCCCAAAGTAAGTCGCCTGTTTAGATTCCCCAATAGGCCAAAAGTGCACGCCCATCTCAAGGGGTTGGAAATTTGTCCCGAGCCCTAAGATCGCCTATTGGGCAATGTCCTTGAGAGCAGCAATTCTGGGCCTACGACTCGCCGGCAATAGTCTATTTGTTTCAATTGAAACAATACAGGCTGTTACGCCCTACGATGGGCGCGTCGTGGTTTGTTCGCAATAATGCGTTACATTAAGGCCCCTTCAGACTGAACCTCTGGGTAATTTTTTTTAACGCAATGCTATCGCCATCACGAATAGCTTTATGAGCACACCAATTGACGAGGTCATCTACGAGATATGAGACGGCGCACGCCACCGCCGACAGGGGCAACGGGCTCTACATATAAACTATGAAATAGGGATATAATTAATTTTATGTAAATACACGGAGAAGTCGCTTCAACACAGGCTTAAAGCTAGTGTTACGCTATCACCCTTTTGAGAGCTCGTGAATTCGGTGTTTTCTTTACAACAATCAAAAAAACGAAGTAATGCTTGTAAATTCATGTAACAAATCGATTGGAATTTATTACTTTTAAGAAGTTGAAAGGCGTTATTTCAGTTAAAAAAAGTGTTAATAACAGATAATAGAGGACAAATGAGATCAGTCAATAAGAGAATAAATAAGCAAACTTACCATAAAAGTAAAAGCCTAAGAATAGGTACAATTTACGCTTAATATAATAATGCCTTTACGATATTCCCTTTTTAACAAGCCGGTTATAAAGTCCTATGAAGATAAAAAGCGTGAAATGGTGTTATAGAGTAACAAATTATAGAGATTAACTAATATTAGATAGAAGGGACTACCTTTAAGCAAGATAGCAAAAAACGAAGAACTATATCGTAGGAAAAAGGAAACTAAACGAGGACACTAAGGGTATTAAGATGGTAAAAATAAAACTAAGATAGCAGAACAATAATAGAAAACAACATTACGTAAGCTACGTAAAGATAGCGACTTATTATGAAGAATATAGCAAAATCCATTTCTTCCAAGAAAAAGACGTTTAATTTCAAACCTCCAAGAGAAGAAGAGAAAATATTAACCTTATTTAGCTGTGAAGAGTACCCAATTAGTGATTTTATGGTAGCACTTGGTGGCTTCAACTATATTAAAAAAACCCTCGAATTAAAATTTTAAGATAAACAAAGTAATCTAATAAGCCATTAGGGGGGGCTAATAAAATGGTGTTGCCATAACACTCCCTTTGAGAAAATATTTAGCAGTTCATAATATAAAGCGTAGCGAAGTAAGTTCACTGCAGTTGTTAATCAATTACCGGGAGGTTCTTCGCCTTTTTTCTAGTAAAGCGCAAAAGTAATTTTGATTTCACAATTACGTTGCAATGCCGAGCCAAAATGCCAGTAAACATTCAAGACGGTTTATAAAAAGAGGAAGTATGCTAACATATGAAGCAGACGTTATTATGACTTTGTATAAAAGGACTATATTCTTAAGGTTCTATTAGCTTTGTATATTTAAGTGGCGAAATAAGGCAAAAGTCGTATTTTTACTTTTGCTAAGTAATATATAAAAGAGTGTTGCCTAGTTTTGTGACCTGTAAGAACTAGTTATCTTGCGGTGGTAGTGCACCTTAAAGCAGTTAGCTGAAAGAGTAATTAATCTTTTAAAAGACTAGGGAATGGTAAGTGAAAACAGTGAAATTACTACAAAGAGGGGTAAGTGCGTAAAAGAAGTGAAAAGTTAACTTGCAAGCGAAAGTAAGGCAAGGTCCGTAGATAAAGATGCATACTTCTTTAAGGTTGTACAGAAAAAAAATATATAGTTTCTAGCCTACAGATTAGCCAGACATTTGTTTAATGCGGATATAAACTTGTAGACTACATGCCACTTATTATAAAAGCTTCCTAGTTTTACAAAAAAAGTTGAACCTGAGACATTGTTATGGTCGAAGAGGGTACATTCTTTTACGAGTAATTAATAGTTAACAACAATTATTTCTGGTAATATTTAGCTTACACAATGCTCATCCCTATATAAGTTTGAAAGTTTCATTTTAGACTATCTACACCGAAGAGATAGGTCCAAGTATTTAATGGATCAGAATTAAGTATAATTAAGTATAATTACTACAGAAGACAATATTTTACGAAGGGAATACCAAACTTTTAAAGGTATAAAAAAGATAAGGCAAGTAAAAAACTTGGGAATCCGTTCTTAGTATTTGTTATATTGTAATCATTTTAACAATAAATTTCACAAGTTCAGAGAAATAATAAACCCCTCTTTGAACCATGTAAAATGAAAGCTTTAAGACCGAAACAGAGGTTTTAAATATCAATAATTGCGTTATTTGAGCATGCAAATGGGTAAATTTTAAATATTTGTAAAGTGAACAGGCCTCTAGATATATTTTTAATTTAATGAAAGTCTTAATAACATATGTTAAAATTTAAAACGATGATCGCTAGGCAATTCCAAAAAGAATGGCATGCCGTAAAAAAAAATTAATTGTTAAGGGAGTTAAGTAAATAAAATATATCTGTAAAAAAAGGTGGTAAATAACGGACTTTTACTTTATTCTCCATAAGGAAAGGGTTCAGCTTAAAGTATTGCAGGGAATAAATAGGTTATGCAAGGTAGAAAAAAAAATGAGAACTTTTTAAAACGGCATTTTAAGAATAATTAAATCGAGAGTTAAGAAAAAGATCTTATGCATAATGTAAAACAGAATTATGAAAAAGTACTTATACACTTTTGTGTTACAGGTGCTCTCCAGTAAGTTATTTACAGTACTAACAAAAGCTTTTTGAACTTTACAGTAAACTTCTTTATTTCTATGACAATCTTCTTTCTTTATATTATACCAGTTTATAATACTTCAGTAAGTATTGTAATTCATAACCAAGAAAAATAAAGTTTTCTGAAAAAAAGGGTAAAATTATGTGAGTGCAGTGCTTTTATTGATTATGCTGATCTATTAAAGAAAATCTGAAAAACAATTTTATTAATAACTTAAACTTTATTTTTGAGTCCTTACAAATCCATCATGCGTTGAGTTTTTTAAATACTTAAAGAGCAGTAAAACTAGAATAAATAATACTACAGAACAAAAAACACCATTATAAATATCTTAATAGTAATAACTTCATAAACAGTTAGAAAGCGAGTATAAATTCTCCGAGCTCAGAACTCTCGTTTTCATCTACTAATTATAAATCCATATATTTAAGTTTAGTTTAGTAAAAAATTTATTAAAAAGTTATTAAAAGTATATAAGAAGTCTATAAATAGTCTATGAAAAGAGTAAGAAATTCAAAAAAAAGAATACCATTAACGGTAGATGGACGAAACAGTAATAAAAATAAAAAGTCAAAGTAAATTATGCAGTATGTAGGATAATAATAAGCGCAACCCTTATTTTTATTGTCTTCTTCAGTTTCGCCGTCTCCAGGTGTTGCTTTAGGTTCTTCCGAATCCTGCAAAGAGCCTGCGAGAGATAAAAAATAATATAAATTTTTCTTAATAACAATAAATGTAATTTGTATGTGAAAATCTTATTATTAATACTTGATATGCATATTATAAATGATACAAGCTTAATTTGTCGTAATTATAATACATTATAAAGCTAGGTTTCTGTTGAAATTATAATAGATATTAAAATCATTCATGGTGTTGTACTCCAGCCTTAAAGAAAGGAAGAATACACTTAAACAATACAAAAAGAATAATATTATTAAAAGTTTCTATCGTAATTATATTTACAGCTACCAAAGAATCTTTACAAAACCTAGAATATATATAATAAATATAAACACAAAAGGTGGCAACCTTCCACTATTTCTTTGTACGAGTGTTTTTCTTTGAAGGGCCGCGGGCCCAGCAACTCCTTCAGTTATAATGAGTGACATAATACGGATATAATGATAAAAGTATTAACCTTAACGTCGTCTCTAGAAATAACTTCCTGCTTCATAAGCAGGCGGGCAACTTTTTCGCACTCCTGTTCCTTTTCGACCAGCAGCTTTTTGGTTCCTAACAGGACAACCGGTCACTTACCGCTAACATTGTGGAGTAAAAACCCACTTTCGTACGCCTTGTCTACAAGAAGGCGGACCTCCTTGTCAATTAACTCGGCAGTTGATTCGCTATACGCCTTGCGTTCGCAAATAAATACATGAAAAATAAGCAAGTGAAAAGTACTTTAAGTAAGAGTACCTTTTTAAACTCTGGCTGGCCATCTTTGGGCGGAACATAAGCAAGACGCCCAATAGTTTTACTAAAACCGTACTGAGTAACCTAGTTTATATAATGATTATACGAGGCCCATTAATAGAGAAGATCCGGTCCCGAAAGAAAGTTCATCAGTAAAAGAATAGTGTACCCACGCATACGCAATTTTAGTGATTTTGTCGAGGTCATCCTGAGCCCCCGTTGTAATTCGTCCAAAGAACAACTCTTCCGCTGCACGCCCTCCATAGGTCATGCATACACGGTCCATCAACTACAAAGGAAAAGAAATGACCACGCGCTATCTTATAAAAAATGTAGCCCCTCATACCTGCTCGGTGCTGTATAAATATTGCTCTTTAGGAACGTACTGGGCATAACCCAGAGCAGCCGAGCCGCGTGGGATGATGGAAACCTTTTAAAAAATATTCAATATGCACAAAACAGAAAGAACTAAACTCTCACTCGCACTAAAGTATTTTCAAACTCATTCAATAAAAAATAAAAATTCAACTTACTTTAAGCAGCGGATCCGCATGCTCAAAATACCAACCACATATTGCGTGACCTGCCTCGTGATAAGCTACTATTTTTTTTTCTTCTGGGCTTAGCACTTTACTCTTCTTTTCGAGGCCTCAATATAAGAAATGCGTCATTAATAAAGTAAGTAGTGCAAAGAACATATTAATGCATGAAATAAATCAATTTTTTCATTGAGTATATTTGTAGATACCTGCAATGACCCGCTCAATTGCTCGCTCAAAATGTACCAATTCAACTTGCAAACTAAAATATCGAGCGGCAATTAGTGCGGCCTCATTACAGATATTCGCAATATCGGCACCTTGTAGAAAAGAATTATATTATCCGATAAATAAGCAAAAAGGAAAAAGTTATGATGTCAAGAAAACCTGTAAAACCCGGTGTTAACGTAGCCAACTTTTCAGAGAGCTCCTTAATATTAATATTTGTTTTTATTGGCTTGAGATGTACTTTAAAAATAGACTTGCGCCCTCGAATATCCGGCCTATCAATAGTAATCTTGACCCGCCAAAAGAATAATATTACTCATTAAGTTATAATAAATAACAATAAACAAAAATAACGCTTAACAATATAAAGTACATTTTGTAAGTAATAAAGTTAAGTGCGTACAGGGAAGAAGGTAGCTTTACTCACCGCCTTTATCGATTGCTACACCAAAGCGAACTGTTGCGGGGGGCCGACGTATGGGTATAATACAAGTCAGTTAATCACTCGCTTGCATGCTAATGATCGCTATATTCTACAGGCTAACACAAGCGAACCAGGATGATAATTAATGTAGACTATTTTCACTAAACTAACCATTTCTTTATAGGAAGTGTTATCAGCCAATATTAAATTGGTTAAGTGCAAAAAACCGACGGCAGCCCAAATTTATCCTCGTGGCCAGTATATATATGGATCCACAAAGTTATAAACTTTGCACTTAAAGATTTAAAACTTCATAGAAATTATATAAATATATGTTAAAGTCTAGTTCCAAAAAAATTTCAATATCATAACCTTCAAACACTTAAAAAAAAAACTATGCTGGAAGCTAAGGATTTTTATATTATGTAAAACCGTGTAATGAAAAAGTATAGATAAACGAGACTTGTCTGTCAAAACGACCAGGACGCATCAGTGCTGAGTCCAGAATATCAGGTCGGTTGGTACCTTAAACACATATCACATATAACAGCAAAGGCAGCAAAAAAAAGTTCTGTTAAACAATAAAATATACGTATAAGTAAATATTGTAAGTAAAAACCGGCGAGCACGACTACATTTTCCGTCGACGAGAAACCGTCCATTTCCACAAGAAGTTGGTTTAGCGTGTTTTCCCGCTCATCCTGGCCACCTCCAAAAGGTCCTTCAGAAAAATAAAATAACAGTAATAAAATCCGTACGAGGGGAGTTCCTTGGTATTAATGTTAACCTCCGCGCCCTCTTGAGCGGCCTATAGCGTCAATTTCATCAATAAAAATAATACATGGCGCGTGTTCCCGGGCAGTTTTAAAAAGATCTCTCACCTTTAGATCATTAAAAAAAATGTTTAAAAACATTTATTATTTCATACTAACATTTAATAATTCAAAGAACCAAAACAATGTAATATACAGGCCGTGTTAGTTAGCCCAATTTTTTTACAGAATATAGATTTATTATAACAATGGCAATAGAACTTTGTAAAAAAATTCACTGTGAAACCAGAAAATAATTGCTGGTAAAGCATTAAAAAAATTTTATAGACGAACACGGGAGGGGCCAACTCCAACAAACATCTCAAGAAATTCAGAGCCGGAAATGGAAAGAAAAGGAACATTCGCTTCGCCAGCAGTGGCTTTAGCCAGCAGAGTTTTTCCTGAAAAATAATATATTACAAGTTATTTTACTTCTATAATCAGAAATTTTAAAATGACTGTAACGAAAAGTAGAAAATGTAGCTATATCTATAAATACGGAGCGGGGAGGTATTAAGTTGTATAATATGCGTAAAATGATAATAAAAGTTTGGCTTGTGGGCAACTATTATAAATTCTATAAAGTTTTATCGTTTTCGAGGCTTCCACTTGTTAACATTATTTACCGATTTATTTGTTTAGTACGATTAATTATACTTGCATTAATATTCACTGATAAAAGTGTAATAAAAGCATATGATAAACACCTGTTCCAGGAGGTCCACTAAGAATGGCCCCTTTGGGGATCTTCGCTCCTTTAAATTAATACGGAAATTGGCAAAGAATTTTTTATATGAACATACAATAATAGGTCTTTTGGCGTTGAATATAAATAAAACTTTAAAATAAAAAAAAGCAGCGCGTACAAAAGATATAAAGTAATATGTCCAGAATAATTATATATTATATGTAAAAACCGAGTTTTCTATATATTTCTGGACGCTTCAAAAAATTAACAAATTCCATAATCTCCAGTTTTGCTTCATCACAACCAGCAACGTCCTTTTAACGTCAAAAATTTAAGGAGAAAAAGCCAACTCAAAAAATTTTTTGTGTAACTCGAAAATAATAAAGTTAGTAAATATGTATAAATAGCGTAACTTAACCAAAATCTTTACTGGTAGGATTTTCTAACAAGTAATGCGATTAGGTCAACTGCATAGTTTAAAGAATTGTTAAGGACTTTACTACCTTAAAGGTAAGTAGATCAGCTTATTATGTACGAAGCACAACTCGATGAAGAGCAGCAGTAATATTAATATAAATAGACATTTCTGTTGGTGTTATTTGTATAATTCCGCGCGCAAAAAGCAAGTTATACACAAAATAGGGTTTTCTATAAAAAATGTAAACCACACTGAGCAAAAATTCAAATACTCGTTAATTAGAACAGTTAGTAAAGGCCTTTGTATTATAAACAGGCTTATTTCTAGTTGACCCTGCTCTCTTTTGAGTAGTTTTCAGCTAAGAAAGGGGTTTACTATAGTAGTTCAACTTTTATTCCAGTTGTAGAAAAGTAGTAGTCTTTGTAATGGCCATCTTATCTAATTTAAACACCATTTACTTTAGACTGCATACGTGGATCAAGTAATCTCTACTCACGACATCCTTCTAGCGTGCTAGTCGACTTTCTTTAAAAAAGAGTAGCATAGCGGGATAAGAATATTTAAAAATCCTATTCAACTACAATAAAGGGGTCTATTATTTAAAAAGATTATTATAATATTGCTACCATGCCGTTATAAGTAAGTTCTAAAGGGAAAACGCATAGTAATATAAAACAAAAAATACTATAGAAATATATGTGAACTCCATAAATAGATTTTAAAATTTTCAAAGTTTCATACTAATAAAAGTATAATGTTTACGATTTTCTAAACAAATTTCTTATTAAAAAGAAAGTAGCAATTAAAAACTTTTAACTGAAAATAGCTACATGATGGTTTAGAATAGCAACAAATAATAGTAAATCTAACTTTGAACTTCACGTTGATTTTTGTTTCCGGTGTTATTAATCTTGCCGTTGTTTTTCCAATACTAAAAATGCTCTACAAAATTTATTGTAAAAAGTATTTAGCTTTATATTCTTAAACAAAAATAACATAATATAGTAACCCTTCCCCCTGGACCCCCAAAAGCAGGCGGAGTTGCAGGGCCACGTGGCCCGGAAAGGATTTTTTTGCACGTATACATGAGTAATCCCAAAAAGACCAACGTGGGCAAGTGTTTTACTAGTTCACTATATTATTTAAAAGATGATTACCAAAAAAATAAAGTATACGATAATAAGACATATATTCACACTAATAAGGGCAGAACTTAAAATAATATAAAAAACGCAAAAAATCTGGATATTGTTAACCAAAAAACATTATAGAGTTCTTTAAAAGAGCCAAGAACAAACAAAGAAATAATATTATTAAACTATTGACGTGCTTTTTTCAAGTTAATTGATTAGATATAACGATAAAAATGACTAACGTGAGCGTTGTTTCTCTCACGTACGAAACTTGGACGTATTCTTCCAGGCTATATCCATATTCGCGCTGATCAGATTCTAACTTCCGCTCAAAAGAATCAAGACTACCAATAGTAAACTGATACTTTGGTTGGTTCGCGGGAGGGTTTATAGACGAATCAGCTAATCAATAATAATTTTTACTCAATTTAAATATAAAGATTCTATAGTATAAATAAAGTGGTACCCATCTGTAAGGAGTCCCTTTCAGTATTGTCCTTGGTGTATACAAGAACTACTCTTTTATTAACAACAACAAGTTTATAAATCTGCAATAACATTCAAGGAAATTACTTTTCTCTTATTTAAATTAAGGATAATATATCAAATTATACTAACTTTTCACACAAAATATATGTCAAATAAGACCCAAAGCAGGAATACGATACATAAGTATATATATTGAAATGAAAAAAACAAACCAATTTTTTTTTTTAAAAGTAAAAAAATATGTCACAAAATAAACAAAAGAAATACTTAAGTTTTAGAAATTATTAAATTAAAAAAAAAAATAGTACAAAGTAATACTCTAAAACTAAAGTAAACTTTACAATGAATGCAAAGAAAATTTTAAGTCAAACTAAATATAAAAAGCATTTTAATTACGCACACCTTATTTTTGTCTATTAAAAGACCTACTTAATATGTACTATATTTGTATATAAAACTTAATAATAGCTATAAATACTTATAATAAAGTATTAATTTTACTTCATCGTTTTTTAAAAGAGTCCGCCTCAATGACTGATAATCGATTTCAGCGGGTTTATGGCTTGGCAATAGAACAAACAGCACACCCGTCAGAAGAATAAGATAAGGGACAACGTTTCTTTTTGCATCAATTTTAAAAAAGGGAATCCCTGTAAATTTTTAAGGAGGAAAAAAGCAAATACTTAAAGATGTTCTATAATCAATAAAATAAAGGCAAGCTAATTAAAATAGATTAATCTGATAATAAATTTAAAGGAATAATTAAGAAAAAAAAATTTCTATTAGGAACCCAACTAAATATATGATAAAAAATACATAAAAGTTAGTTGATCTTTTTGAAAGTAACACCTTTAAAATCCTCATTTCTGCGTTTGGTTCGTTTTAAATTAGGTAAAATTTGAATTTTATTCACAGGCGTGTATGATTGATATGTACTATTAGAGTCAGTATCCTCGTTTTCTTTTTCTTTGTTCGATGTAGAAGAACCATTCGAAGAGCTCTCCTTCGAATCTGAAGAATTTGTAAGGCGAGAGTAGAACAGAGGATTTGTTTTTAAAAAATAGCGGGCATAATAATTGACGATTTTGCAACTATGATTTCGTTCCTAAAAATAGGGAAAAAGAAAAAAAAAATTATTTTAAAAAACAGCTAACTAAAAGAGTTAGTCTCGTCTTGAAAACAAATATGTAACCCTGTTTTTAGCAATAGATGTTTATATAAAAAAATATAAAACCTTGAGCCAATAACTATTTTTCAAAAGCCCTAACATTAAACTTTTTTCAGTAAAGGCACAGAGACGGCCCACTAGAACAACCTTTTATAGATATTGACGTGAGGTGATACCCCTTTACTTTAGACTCTAGAAGGTTCAATGAGCCTAGCTTTAATTACCGTTAAACACGCTTAATCTTTACCGCCAGGCGCCTCCTCAGTTTTTATTGTCCTTTCGTACACGCTGCTTTGGTTTTAACTATTTTGGCTACTTAGCTATCTAGACAAGCGTAATTTGAAGAGCATATATTAATAAATCTTACAATAAACCAACGCATTAATGACAGCTGTTTTTGACGGTGTTAAAGTTATACTAACCTTATTTGAGTACCATTATAGCAAAATTATTACACAAAGACATGGACAAAGCAATTGTGTTCCTGAGATCCTATTCATGAACTTTAAAGGAAAACTGGTAGAATGGTGTTAACGGTTATTTTTACTAGCCCTGCAAAGCAGTGACGCCAGCCAGGGTCCATGTCGGAAATTACAGCCTACAAGCCCCCCAGCAGGCCACTTATTAACTCAGTTCTTGATGTCCTTTTTGTAACTCGTTCCTCAGTTGCTAAATATGAGGACCTTAACTGCAAGCGTCCCCGGCCTGGAACAACCTTGTCGGTAACCCAAACAGCTGAATCCTTGAATCTTACACCGACGTGCGCGGCTACTCGTCTTCGGATCACAGTTCCCAATTCACAAAACGAAGACGAAGTTATCAGACTTACTAGGTTTGGCCGTTTGGAAAATATTCATATAATGGCAACGAAAACTCTTTACGAACTCACGCCGGACCAACTGCAAAATCTGCTTAATTTGGGCGACGAAAAGGAGTTACTCAGGACATATACCAGAACTTTTACGGACTGGGCTCAATTCTCCAAGGCTCTGGATATAACCTTTTCGACATCTTCCGCCTTCCTCAGGGCGCCCGCCTTACTTGACGTTGCTTTAGCTAAATTTAAGAGTGCTTTGACCATGGTGTACCACACCACCAGAACAACACGTGAAGTTGAGTTCCGCCCTAACCGCTTGCCCGATGAATTGAAGCCCCTTATCTGCAAGCGGCGACGGCTTATTCGAGTGACTATGGTCTCACAACGCCCTGAAGATAAATTAGCACTTTAGGAAAGAGCTGTTGGCGCACCATAACAGGTTGTGGGAGACAAAGTTAAGTAATATATGATGATGGTGATGGTCGCGTTCCTTTCCGGAAGTTTATTAAAAAATAGAAAAACCGAACGCGTTTACCATTACCTATCATGCGAGACGGGATTTTGTGTAGAAAATGATGCTGACAAAGAGACACTTTTTGCTGCTCACCTCGCTACTCAGCAGTGTGTGCCATCTACTTATTTAGTTACTGATGAAGAGCTTTGAGACTCAAACTTCTTTGTTGATGCCAAGAAACAGCTTGAGCCAATCAATATAGCAGAATCGTAGAGATTATTAACGCTTTACCGAGACGAAAGGCGCCTGGCCCCGACGGTTCACCAACTTGATGTAAAAGCAATTACCATTGATGACGGTAGAACGCCTATGCTGTCTCATCAACTCTAAGAATACTCTCGGCACCTTATTGCGATGCAAGACTGCAACTATTGTGATATTCCAAAGACCCCACGACTAGTATCTACGCCGAGCATATACAGGCTTATCAGTCTCTTATCAGCCTTTGTCAAAGTAGCTGAGGAGGCCATACTGCGCCGCTTGAAAGCTTTTGTTGACTTAAGTCACGCCTGCCAGTGTTTCATTTTGTATTTCTTCAAGGACACTACCCGACTCAACAACTCCTTCGATTGACAGGGTGGACGATCCGTGGCAAAGGGTGCCGTCTTTCTTGATGTCGAAAATACTTTTGATCGAGTTTGGCTCAAGGACTTGCTTCATAAATTGCGCATCATGGCCCTTCTACTATCTTTTTTAACGTGATCAAATCTTACTTTAAGGACTGCGTCTTTGATATACGTCTGGGCTCTGGACGCTTACCCTAAAACCATTAAAGACTGAGTCCCACAAGGATCTCTATAATCTCCCCTACTCTTAGCACTTTATGTCCGCGACGTGCCACAACCTGAGTTCCCCACACGCATATTGCTTTATAGGCGGATGGCACAACGATTTACTTCTCGTCAAAATCACCCTGCCTCATTTCGTCAACATCTGCAGTACTACCTAGTGACGCTTGCCAACTGGTTTCTTCGCGACGATGCCTTACATCAAAAACCTCCAGAATGAACCTTTGGGTAATGTTTTACGATGCTATGCAAGCGCTCCCCACGCACGACTTAGTCCGCACACCAACCAGTTACTGGCATATGAGGTCAGTTACGAGCTCTGGATCTGCGCACGCTATGTGCGACGCCCGACGGCTTTAAATATTTAATATGGAGGGGTAGAATATTTTTAATATATATATGTGTGTATATCTTTGCTTTTCCATAAGCTTGAAGCTAACGCGTACGCTATAACCCTGTTGAGATCTCATAACTTCGGTGTTTCCTTTTATGCCCCCAGCGAGCACCACGAAATAACGAAAAATAAAAAATAAAAAAATTAACGCCCCACTTAGAATTAACTTTGGGAGGAGGGGTGTTTTGGGGGTGCATTCGTCTTTTTATAGTGGAGGCTTCTATAAAAAAGCGTATATAATTTATTGTAATCTTTCCAACTCATATATAACTAAACTAATATCATAAACTGTCGCTAAGTTCCTTAATACCTTAATAATTGTAAGCTTTGTGAACTTTTTAGTGCAAGGTATTTATAGTTTTTAAAATTTTATGACCCTATTTTGGAGGATCGAAATTTTAATTTAAAATATTGTATGAGTTATCTTTAGTTAGACTTGTAAGACTAATGAAAAGCAAACTTAATACTGATCCCTTTATAAAGAATTGTAAATTACGCTAACATGCAATCGAAAAGTGAATTACTGAACGTGTAACCTTTAATCTATATTGATCACGTGGCGCCATCAACTCATTTTTTGTGTGCGAGTTTTCAGTGCTAAATAGCTTTTGGACTCACAGGCTATGTTTATCTCCGGTTACTTTTAGTGAAAGTAATGTATTTGTATCATATTAACTTTCTTATATTCACCTATACTTACAGAAAAAATGGGACTTAACATAAAGGATTTAGTTGAAAATTTAAAAATATCTTTTACGACCACTAATAATATTGAGAGAAAAGCAGGTTTTATTAAAATATATAGTTTTCCAATAAATCCATAATTTGAATTATTAAAGCTGAAAACTATATTTTGTCTCTGGAAAAGGAAAAAAACTATGCGCTTTGTTTGCTAAACATAGTTACCTTGAAGGACATTCCTCCCGCTGTGTGTGTGGCAGCTGCAGCTCGATTTAAGAATTTTCTAAAAAGTTATTGGCATGAGGTTCTTATTTTTAAAGGGCTAAGCGTAGATATATGTTACTTGTCAATTGTTTTACTGACTTATTTCACTAATTAAACTACTTTTGGTTGCTTTGATAGGTTTGTTAGTTTACAAATATTTAATTTTATAGATTGTGTTATTTAACATATAGTTACTTTTGTATAATGAAGGACGGTTTTATTAATTATAATATATGTGTTAGTACTAAAAAAATTCTACAAAAGTCAGTGCTTTTAGCTTCAAGGTTTATAACTATAACTATTTATCATTATTCACATCGTTTTTAACTGTTATTTATGGGTTATTATTTAGGCTTCAATTTTTAGAATCTTTTAATTTTTTTTTACAATAAATTATATTATTTAATATAGGTTTAACCCATTATTAGCTTATTTGTATGCTATAATATATAACTAGATATTGTGTAGTTAGTTAATCGTTTATTTATTGACGTAAAACAACTTTATAAAGGCAGTAAGCTACGTTCGTATCTGTTACCTTATTGGTTAAAGTATTTATTCTACTAGATTTCTGATGAAAACGCTAGAATACTGCCTGATGAAAGAAATTTAATTAAGTCCAATATTGTCGAACTCATGCTTTTTTCCTCGAAACCTGTATATTTTGCTTACATATTTATATTACTGAGAATTCCACTCGTTTTTATACTTAAGCTTTATTATACTTTTAACTAGTGGGGAGCAAAGTATTATATTGAGTATACACATTCAAACTTTTAAGGCCCCTTGCTTTAGCTTATAGATTATGTAAACTGTTATTATTGATATTTCTGAAGTAGTAGTTATTAATTCATATGCTCATTGGTATTACCAACAGCTTCTATTGTGAGATTCGTTTAACTTAATAACTTAGCTAACAATGTATACAATCTCTAATTATTAAATATTTTTAATTCTATAATTTTAATTCTAATGTAATTTTATAATTTTTTAGGCTTAGTACGTTATAATTCTGCTTGCATCATTTTTTAATTAAAAAATTTTATATTATTTATATGAACCTACTTGTTTTATTTAACCGGCGCAAGTAGTGCTATCAATTATATGAAGATTTTTTAATATAGTGCTGCTGTATTTTAATAGCTTTTTTGGGGGCTTTTATGTTAATTTTAATAATAATAGCTACATAACTATTATTTTCTCGCAAACATAGCATAAAAAAGTTGCAGCTAATATGCTTAATTATTTTGATAATAATTAATAGAGAAATAAAAAATAAATTCAGTCTACTAAATTATCATTTGCATCTACTCTCTTTTTTCGCTGTTTCCACTCTAATCGCGCCATGTATAAGTATAGACTTTTAATAAATTGTAGCTTCTGCTTGTTTTATTCAGAATCTAACTTTTGCAAAAAGCATACTATTAATATTTATTAAGTTTATTTTTAATAGTTACTTAATATATAAACAAAAATATCATATTCATTTGTTTTACTGAAAATTCTTACAATTCCTTTTGTTAACGTATGAGGATGTTCAACGGTTTTTAAGTGAATCAGTCGTTATTATCTGTCATTACGACGACTTGGAACGCGACTGGTAATATATATACTCCATTAACTATTATAATATAATATAAGAGAAATGATTAGTTTTAAAGTGCTTTGTTAGTTAACCGTAGTTAACAATGTTTTGATAGTTTACTAAGCGCGACTAAAGTTTGCGATCTTTACGATAATTGCTCTTGTACACTTTTTGACGCATTATTTATAGTTACTTTTGTTTGCACTAGTCAACCACGATATATCGTCTGACCACATGATGTTAGAATTTTATACATTTTATGACAGGCCCAACCTACTTTCTTTTTTGTCTGAAAAACTTTCTTCACCTGATCTTGGGATTGTTTCCGGTGTCCTCCTCACGGCCAGCTCCTTGTTTAAAAAGTTGATACTATTATTATTTACGGTTTTCTGAGACTACCTACCTACAAATTAATAAAAGTATAAAAACTTCTGGAATTAGTAATGTTTTTATAGTAGTTAAAGTAAAATCTAATTCCAAAACTCATTAGTCATTATATAAAATAATCATTTTGACGACTCTATAGCTAATGTATGAAAATGCTAATGTAAATTATTAAATTACTTATAAACAGTTTTATGCGCTTTTCTGTTCTTGTTTTCAAGCCATAAAGTAAATAATTTTTTATATTATTTTAATAACTGTTTATTAAAAAAGTAATTAATAGCTTTAATCTTTCTTTGCAACGTTAAAAATATAGCAAAAGATTTTTTATCTGTCGCAATCGTTGTATAAAAGATATTCCACTGAATTTCGATCTGATGAGCTCTGGCGACAAATTGCTTATGCCTTAAAAATCTTTGCCGAGTCCTTCACGAAATCCGCTAATGTATTTATTATAATACATGTGCCCTACGCACCATCATGATGATTACTTTTAGAACTTAGTCACGAAGCTGCTAACTTTGCATGAACCAAAGGAAATTCTTATGGTACTGGGCTTATGCGAAGAAATACTGAAAATCTTCTATTATTTAAACTTTCAGGGTGCAGTAAAGAAGATTTTACTGAGTCGTTTTATCGAATATATAAGACACTTTATTATTAGATCTTCCCGAATACTTTGAGGACAACATGCCGCTGTGGATGCACATACACCAAACTTTGTTGGACTACCACAACAGTTCTGTGGTTTCTCAAGACGTTCCTGGTCCTCCTTATAGATTATCCTTATTCTAAAATTCGCACTTTTTATATGGTTAATAGTAGTTTGGGAATAAATAAAAATATTACTCGCACATAATTGGTTATGAACCCTTTGGTCATCATTTTTATTTACTGTCTTTCTGAATATAATGCACAACTTTTATTAAATTTTTTTTGTATATCTGTTACATTATATGTACTAAATATCAGGACCCCTTGAGGGTGTAAAAAGCCAAGCTTGTGAAAATATATCGTTGTACGCCTCAAAATATGATGACGCGGATTCCCCTTTTGGGAAGTACATACCGTTATTTGCGGAGGTGCGTATATAAATAATTAAATATAAGTGCATTTAAATAATTTGATTAAATTATATAGAAAATTTGGGGCTTATTAACGAGCGTGGGGCCTGACGCCAGTTATGATAGCGTAAGTATATGAAAACTACTGTTACTATTATTATATTTTTTATACTATCACTTCTTTATTATTTTTTTTTTAATAGAGTAATTTAGCGATTTTTTTGTTTTATCATTGCCTCTTTATTATCCGAATATCATTACTATATCCACACACTTCCTCCAGCTGGTTTGTAGCGCGCTCAGCCTTCTCTCGTTGATTGTCTCGCGCCCTCGCTATGCGCCCTCTTTCGATAACCCAGAAGTTTTAATGACTCTTTGCGAAAAAGTTGTCATCCCTAATATGAGACTCAGAGGTTAGTACGTTTATTTTTTAAGGCTCTCTGTGGGGTGTATACTGCGTTGTTTCTGCTGGTTGTCGGAATAATGCAGCGGATAACCGTTAGAATAGGCCACCCTGTAGAGTAGTTATTGTTTAGCGAATTCGAAGGAAAGAGAAGAACTTTGTAAGTGTTAGCCTGCCTAGCCTGTAGTCTCCGACTTCCTGGGTTAAAAAATTCTGTCGGGTTTTTATATATTTTTGTAGATCGATTCTTTAATTTTTGTATTCTGCTAGAGTTTATTACATACTTGTTTTCTTTGAAATGCTTAACTAAGATCAATATTACGTACGGATAAAAAAGTATTTGTTAATATTTATTAAAGCATGGATTTTATGGTTGAATGTTAAGACAACATTGAGAAAGTCACAGGAGAGCTTGTTTCTTTATATTTTTGTGACCATCAGTCATATTTGAGAAATATTGTTAATAATATAATATTTTTTGTTTTGTTTATGATATTGTGATTTCTTTAAAATTATGTATAACTATACCAGAAAGCGATATTGTGGCGTTTGACATTGATTGTGAAGAATACATTAAGTGCGATATTGAAGGCTCCGGTACTTATTTTTATCTCAAGGCTTAATATCACTTTACTTGCTATTGCTTTCTATTTGTGATTTTTTATATATTTCTGTTTCTCTTTTATTTTGGTATCGGCATTGTACTTCAACATTATTATAGATATTGGCACCCGGCGAAGAGCTACCTGTGATTTGGTGCAAACTTTACGTGTACGCTTTCCTGAGCGCGTGACAGAACTGTTTTATAAATATGTCATGCATATGCTGGATGTAATATATTACATATATATTATTAACCTTTTGCGTTTTTGCTGTTTCGAGATATTTGTATTACTATTATTTTTCATAAAAAGAATTGTTGTATGACAGAATTATTATTATGTCAGATTTACAGGCAACATCCTAAGGATTGGCTTGCGAAAGACACTGCTATACACTTAGTGATTTCCCTCGCCGTCGTCGGTATTACCTTTCGTGTTTTTTCACTTTTATTAGTTATATTTATTTATTGTATTTTCTCCTGCTCTTGTAGGCTTTGTGGAGCGTTTTGGAACCACCAAAACTAATATGTTTATTGATATTACATCTTTTTATACCACCCACATTCTGCCCGAACTTCAGAATGACAATCAGACAAATGCTTTGCTTCTAGCTGACTGCGTGAAGTTCATCATCACGTTTCGTAATCAGGTTTGCCGATGTGTCACATGCATGAGTTTCTATAGTGATTTTCAAAGTATATACGACAGGCTGCTTTAAAGTTAATATAAGTAAAGTTGTTTGTGGGGGGTTGGGGCTCGAGCAGCTCATTAACTCGATTATTCTTAATATAAAATAAATAATATTTTCAAATCGCCTTGTGAATAACACATTTTTGCTGCCCTCTCTTCCCTTGTTTCATTAATTCTATTTCTTCTAATAGATCCCCAAGCAGTTTTTGTTGGATATTCTTCCTTTGCTACAGCGACGCCTACTCTCCCCTTCCTATGTCTTGAATTCTTATTGCTCTATTTGCATCGAACGTATATTGTTCCCCCGACTCGTTTCTTCAACGGATGGAAGAGGATTCGAAAAGTTTGTTATTATCACCATCTATTTGTGTACTTCATACTTATGTAACACTCGATGCTCTTTATTGAATAGTATTTGTCCGTTTGCAATTCAGTATGTCATGAAAGAATTTTAAATATTAATCTTTATAATTATGCCTTTATAAACAATTAATGCTATGCATTTTCCACCATATAAGTCTGTCCTTCCGCTTTTTTTTGTAGTGTTACGAAGGGTGATATCCGGACTTTAACTCCGGGGCTGCTGACCTCCCTTTTCTCGCTGTTAGACACTGACGAGTCTAAGGAAAACCAGTATGCCATGAAAGGTTTTTGCTGAAACTACTTTTGAGCAATTTTTTTTGGTTTTAAGGGTTCTTTTAAGACAAGTCTTCTATTCTATTATTTAGAATTTGTGTGTGATTTTAGTGGGGAAACAGTTATTATAATTATAATTTTTTTATTAAAAACACACTTACTTTCTACTACAATTTTAGCGGTAATGCGAGTGATCTCAGTCTCACAGAGCGAAGCAGCTTCCTTTGTTGAATCTCTGCTTGATAAAATTTGCAACAAACTATACAGCGTGGCCAAGAACCCCGGCCGTCCTGAATTTAATCACTACTTATTTGAAACGCTTAGCGCGGCTATTAAGTATTTCTTCTCCCTCTAAACTTCACCCCTTGAAATTTTTTTATGAAAGGTACACGTGTGAGTCAAACCCCTTGGTGGTGGCAGCCTTTGAAGAAAAGTTATGGCCGACCTTTACATGGATCCTGGAGCAGGACGTGGAAGGTAGCGTATACATCGTTGAAGGGAAAAGGGTTTATTCATGGTGCGCGCTGCAGAGTTTATTCCTTACATTCTCCAACTGATTGGGCAGCTTCTTGATTTGAATCAGTCAATCCCCCATCGTTATTTAGATATGTTCCCGATTTTTCTCCGTCCGGTTGTATGGGAACGAATAGGTATCGTGTATTGGTTACATCATAATATAGCGAACGTAAATATGTCCTTCTAAATATTATTAACTAACGAGTATTTCTTTATAATTAGAAATAATTTCTACTAAATTTTTGAAGTTTATTATTCTTCCTTAATTTCTTATAAGTTATATATATTATTTGAAGAGCTTATTTTTATTTTTCGGGTGGTTGGGTTATTATTTTAGCTCGTAATAACTACAACGTTCACTATTATAACGTATTATTTATATAACATTTTTATGAAGTAATTTTTAAGCGGTTTTTAACAAAGTTTGTGGTGTTTGGTAGCTGTTCAGCTCTTTGTTTATTAGCTAAACCGCAAACATGTAGCGTTGCTCGCCCTAAGCTTGCGAACACATCAGCTTTACGCTATTATGTGCACTGCTTATGAGTCCGTCTAAAGTAATGATTCTATTTAAAAAGGTAATGTGCCTGCCCTCACGCGAATTCTGCAATCCTTTTTATTAAAAAGTGGCCCAATTATTTGCGGCGATGAAAACACTTTGTTATTGGTCCTCGGCTCATTTCAGAAGCTCGTATTGCATTCATTTATACTTTAAAAAAAATTTTAATTTTTTTTTAAGATTTCCAGCAAAGCGAATGATCATTTAGGCTTTGAAATTTTGAACACATTATTATATTCGGTGCCGCGGTACACCGTTACGCTCTGTTTATTATTACTTATTAATGTTCTTTATTAGCAATCTCTACGAACAGCAAGTTTGCCCCATATTTCATACAATCTTCAAAAGATTGAGCCTTGCGAAGACCACGAAGTTTTGCGGTTGCGTCCTTGTATTTATTTCGATTTTAATCTCGAAACTTTCTCCGGATGAAGTCATTGTTATGATTAATGGCATCCAAAGCGGGTAGCACATTTTTTCTTTGCTTTCTTTTTCAACGTTAGCTATGACTACTGCAACTTTTTAGTCTATTAATATTATTATTTTTGCGGTATGCTGTTCTCTGCTCTTCATCATATACTTACAAGCATGTCATATATAAAGGTTGTTTTCGATGGTGCTAGACTCCTTGTTTCTTAAAGAACTGAAGTTTATAAAAGGTTTTTTTTACTAACACCACTTTTTATCTCGTCTAACAATAATCACAGCAAAAAGGGCGCGAAAGGCTTGCGCAGTTGGCATTACACATCTTCTTACTAAAAGTTTGGTGCTTATCTCGGATTATGCTAACAAATGGTCTTTCATTTTTATTATCGACTTGGTCGATGAGTTTTATTACTGTTGAGCTGCTTTCATGTTTACTACATTATAGTAAAACACAATTTTATACGTTATTATGAGTGTTCATAACAACTAATGTGTCAGCCAGACATTATTATATTTAACTTATGGCTGTTTGGTTACCTGTTATTGTAGGGACCCTTTGTTTTCTGAACTTCTTTCCTTGCTTGAATGTCAAGCCGAAGACATCCAAGAAGATCTAGCGGACGCCAGTGTGGGTCATTACCAAGTCAGTTTTGTGAAGTTAATGGTTAGTAAATTGTGTATTTTATTATATATTATACGTGATTTTTCTTTGCTAGTTCTACTCTTAACGTAACATTCTTTTTATATTTGTTTTTG